TCTATTTGTGTAATATATTCATTTCCCATATTCATTCAGCAGAATGTGTTCAATGCACATTCATTAAGTGTGTATATACCCATTGCCACTGAGTCGATTCTGACTCATGGTGACCCCAGGTGTAACACAGTAGAAATGATCCATAATGTTTTCTTAGCTGTAATCTTTACAGATGCAGATGGCCAGGCCTTGCTTCTTCAGTGCCACTGGGTGGGTTCATACTGTCAACCTTTTAGGTTAATAGTTCAAACTGTTTGTGCCACCCAATGACCTTTAAACACACACACACACACACATATGTATTATGGCATTTATACATAGTATGCGTATGCATTCATGTGTATATAAGTATAAAAAGATACACATTAAAATGTAAAATCTGGTTCTGATTGCTAACCAGAAGGTTGGTGGTTCAAACCCATCAGCCACTCTGTGGAAGCAAGACTGGGCAATCTCCGGCTACCACTGTCAACCACTTGGAGGGAGTGGTATATAAGAGATCCTGGATAGAGTGGGACAACAACGTGAAACAAAACTCAAAATCATTAAAAAAAAAAGGGACTAGGTTTGCTGGTCTGATAGAGCCTGATGGAACCACTGAGACTGTGGCCCCTAGGCTGCCCTTCAGGTCTGGAATTGAATCCACTCCTGTGGCTTCTAGCCAAACAACAGACAGGCATATTAGCTGAACATTTACCTGAGGTAGATACACTCCTTGGAGAGAACAATCATGGGAGAAAGAAGGGCTGCTTATACACAGGGAGATAGCTCAGGGGGCAGGAATGCATGGAGGGATGGACACAGGGAAGAGGTAACTATCGGGAGGAAGTGGGAGGGGAGATGTTGCATTATGGTAAATTGTGGTCAATGTCATGAGACAAAGTGTATGTGAGTTGCTGTATGGAAAGTGAATTTGCTCTGTAAACGTTCACCCAAATCTCAATTAAAAAAAAAAAGAAGACGAAGACTGGGCAATCTACTTCCATAAAGATTTACCTCCTCAGAAACCGAATGGAGGTCACTATGAATTGGAATCAACTCAATGGCAGTGGGTTTGGTTTTTTGGTTTAATGGTATTATAGGTTTGCTTTGGGTTCTTTTTTACCTGTCAAATCTCTAATTTTCCTACTGTGAATATATGTTATTTCTGTCATTTTTTTAATATAAAGTTTTCAAGGTCAAGTTCCCCCATACACCTTGTCCCATCCCATCCCACTCCCACCTGCTCCCACCACCCAGGGCGCTGGGACTCACCCTGGACCGCCAGCTCCACTTCCCGCTGCTGAGAGCCGGCCGTGTTGGTGACCACACAGCGGTACCACCCTGCATCCTCCTGCATTGCCCGGTCAAGGTGGAGGCTACCATCTGCTCGGACAGCATGTCGGCTGCCAGGCAGGAGCTGGGAGGGTGGGAAGCAAAGCTTGAACCATGGGCCTCTCAGAGCCAGCTAAGAGAAAACCCTCAGGAAACCGTACTGCCCACCAGGTCAGCAGGGAGCAGAAGGGGCCAAGAAATCAGCAGGCTGGAGAAAGTTGAGGGGTTGTGACATGGTAGGTTCATGACTGCTTAGTTCCTACCTCTCCTCTGAGATTTGTCCACCCCCCACAGACTCTGCAGGCCTGATGGGCTGGGGTCTTGATATCCTTGACCCCAACTCTCCCATGGCTGGCCAGACCAGGGTCGACTGGACAGCTGAGCCAACTGGACTTTCTCTTGGAAATGTGGACTTGAGGGCAGAATCTTTACTCATTGGGGGCTGGAGCCCAGGGCTCTAAGGCCACAGAGTAAGAGGACAACCTGGCTGTGGGCAGAGAAGAAGGGAGCAGTGCAGAGGAGCAAGGCAGGACCCCAGGAGATATGTTCCTAGAGAGAGAAGTAGTTCCTGGTGGCTCCCCAGTCTGTCCACATCAGGACCAGGCTGAGGGAGAGGAGCACTGGTCCAGCCTGGGGCACAACCACTAAGGATTTCCAGGCAGGCCATCCTGGGCAAGAAGCCCATAAAGCCTTCCCACCTGGACTGAGCCCATTCTTGGCAGCCCTGGTCCCTGTCCTGTGAGCCTGGCTGCATCTTCTGCCATGATTTTTTAAAATTCAGAGGGAAAAAAACAAACAGGTAATTCTAAACCACAAGGAATGTATAGAAAAAAAACCCTTTCAGCTGGGGAAATCAACAAAGGCTTTATGGAGGAGGTGGTCTGTAATCTGTAAAGACCAAAGAGAGTAAGTATTTTATGCAATATATGATCTCTGTCACAGTGACCCAGCTCTACTGTTACAGTGTAAAAGCTGCCGTATATGAACCATGAGCAAGTGAGTGTGGCTGGGTTCCAAGAAAACTTGGATTACTAAAGCAAGCTGTGGCCACATGTGGCCTGTGGGCTGTAGTATGCTGACTCCTGCCTCAGGTTTTAAAGCATGCGCTGCGGAGTTTGTAGACTTAGCCTGGCGACAGAGTAGGAATGTGATCTTGAGAATGTGACTTAACCTTACTAAGCCTCAGTTTCCCCATCAGTAAAATGGGGAACATAACAGACCCCTCCTTCCAGGTTAGGTGTGAAGACTGAAGGAGAAAATGCCCACAGGCATGTGCCTGGCACCAGCCTCTGTGACCCACACCTGGTTGCTCTATTTCTATTTCTGCTGGTGTGGGAGGACAGGAGAAAGGTGGAGGAGAAAGATAGCTAGAAAAGACAAGGAAAGGTATTCCTGATGAAAGGAACAGCATGTGCTAAAGTACCACTACGGGAAAGCATAAGGTTCACTTGGGGAGCAGTTCTCTGTCTGGCTACCCTGGAATGTGAGACTAATGTAGGGAAATAGTTAAAATGGGGAGAGATGGGCCAGGCCGACAAGCTAAGGGGCTGATACTAACTTTGGTAGGCAGTGGGTAGTCCTGGCTGGGAGCTTTGTTAGGAGCCTGGGTGGGAATTATGAGGTTTGGACCAGGGCAGGGAGAGCAGAAAGGACAGCCAAGCAGTGTAGGTCTCTCTAGGTGTCCATGTTCTACCTGTCTGGGGCTGGCTAAGGTAAAATGGGGGTGAAAGGCTCCCTTTATAGACTTAAGGGTACAGGGACTTTTGGCATGTGTGAGGACAGGGCAGAAATTTGAGGAAAAGGGAAAGGCAAAGAACAAACGAACAGGAGAGCTAAAATAAAGAAAATCAAATTGATATGAATGAATTTGATTCATGGATTTCGTCAGGAAACTATACCCAAGCATGGCAATGGACTAACTATACAAGGCATATATTAAACTAGTCAGTGTCACATCTTTGCCTTGGAATAACTAGAACAGGGATGATGAATGCACTCTGTGCACTCTGTGACTAACCTGCCACCACCCCGCTTCCCAGCCTGCCCACTGATATTGCCCAAGGTGCTCCTGCTGAGCCCCAAGGTGGCTGCAGCCACCACCCATCCATCCATCCATCGACAGGACTTTAGAAGACAACAGATGCTACTGATGCATTATCTGGTAAGGTTCTGGAAAGACAGGGAAGAGAGAGAAGGAAGAAGAAGACATTCCAAACAGATGGACTGGCAAAGCGAAGCCTGAGGCATGACCAGGAGTAGCCCCCTCTCCATTCAACGGAGCACTGCCCTCCTCACCCTCAGAAGCCCAGCACTCACAGGCTGGCCGGCCTTCAGCCAGCGCCTCTCTGGGAGGGGCCTCCCTGCCAGGATGATGCAGGGCAAGGACACGGGCTGTCCCTCTAGGACCCGGACCGTGGAGGCACTGCTGGCGATCTGTGGGGCAACTATAGGGAAAGAGGTGGTGTCAGCCACAATGGACTCCCTGTGTGCCATCATCAGGGAACAGAGGCCCCACTACCCACTTTCCCCTTCCCAAGTGGGCACATTAGGACTGGAGATCCTAAAAGGTTAAAGAACCCCCAGACACTGCCCAGGAAGTGGAGAAACAGATGTTCCTCGGGGAGAACTAGGCATGGACACATCTGCCCCAAAGGGGGTGGTTACAGGAGGTCTCCCTGGGGTGCCTGTTGCCTGGTAGCTCCTCAGGAAGCACCCACCCACACCTCCCCTTCCTCCACCATCGAACCATGTCCCATGACAGTGAGCTGGGCCTCTGCCTGAACCTTCCCGAAGACATTTCGAGCTTCACAGACGTACAGAGCCTGGTCCTCAGGGGCCACACCTGAAAGACAAGAGGCAAACCTGACCACCAGGGTATGCCCTGGCTCCAAACTCCCACCTATCTCTGGCTCCCCAGGTTGGGAGGAAAGCCCTCTGCACCACGAGAGGCTACGGGAGCCCATTGGGGCTGTGCCCTAGGGCAGAGGCCACCCCTGAGCTTGGCTGGCCGGCCATATAGCCTGGTCCTGAAAAGTACAGGTGGGAGGGCTGGGATGCAGAAAGAAGAGGGGTCGGAGGACACAACTGGGCCTTGGGAGGATGAGAAGGATTGAGCTTGCTCATCTGTAGAATGGGAACTACTTGCATCATGTAGTGTGATTGGGAGGGGTCAATGAGACGATGCAGACAGAGCACCCAGCATCAGGCCTTTCATTGTGAAACAGTGGAAGTCAACAGCAGAAGTGTGATAGATGAAGTTACAGTAGTATTAGCAGTGGTGGTGGTAGAGTACCAGTGGGGGTAGAAACAGTAGAAGTATTAGTAGTAGGAGTGGTGGTGGTGGTGGTAGTACTAGTAGTACTAGTGGTAGTACTAGTAGTACTAGTGGTAGTAATAGTAGAAAAGGAAGAAGAAGAAGAAATAGCAGTAGAAATAGTGGTGGTAGAAGTACCAATGGCAGATGTAGTAGTGGTAACAGAAATAGCAGCAACAGAAAGAGAAATAGTGGAAGTAGCAGTAGGAGTGGTAGAAGCACTACTAGTGACAGCAGCAGCAGCACCCACAGTGGTAGAAGCACCCACAGTGGTAGCAGACACGGCTAACACTTCCGTAGGAACTGTGCTAAGTGCTTCCTGTATATGATCGCAAGTAACCACACAACCAACTCAGAAGGTGGTACGGTTGTTAACTCCAGGTGATAGGTAGTATCACTAGCACTCATTACCAGGTTCAGAGTGGAGGAACAATTTGGCCAGGTTCACCCAGCCTATACGTGACCACACGTCAGCCTGATCCTTATCAGTGCTGGAGGTCAGAGTCCTGCTCCCAGCCCAGCCTGGGTGTTTAGGGCTCCAGAAGCAGTGGCATCTCCCTGTCTGTCCTCCCACAGCCCTGATCTCTTACTTTCGAAGAACAGCACTCCTGGATCTGGCTGTCCGGTCCTACTGCCCTGCCCTACTGGCTGGCCATCTCTGCGGTGCCAGGTGACTGTTGGGGGTGGGCGGCCTGTGACACGGCACACCAGGAGGGCATTCTTCCCAAACTCCACAGTGACATTCTGTGGTGGTTCCATCAGCCGGGGCATATCTGCAGAGAAGTGACTGGTCAGCAACATCTAGCAGCTGGCCCCACCTGGCCACCAGGGGATTGTTCCATATGTCTGCCTCCCCTCTGCTCCCTTCCCATCACTGGAAGGTTTCCCTCTTCCAGCCTCTCCCTTGTGAGCCTGGGGCCTGACCCCTGTCCAGTCCAACCTGAGCTTGGCTGTTTTCACCCGCTGGAGAGCTCTCTTGGACAAGGACCGAGGGAGCAGTCCTTGGCAAGATGCCCGCCACGAGGCTGTTTACCTCTGGGTGGTGGGGTCAAAAGGTAACCATCTGCCCTAACTGTGCAGGTGAACAAGATGCCCATTCCTTGCTGCAACAACTCCCAAGAAGCCCACCTCTGAGGGGCTGCATGGCACACTCCAGACATAGGCATGTTCATGTTGCCGTGTTTGATTGCGACCATGGAGGCTGAAGGTGAGCCCTGCTGCCCCTCAGACTCTCCTCCCCTCCACACCCCACCATCTCCACCTCCCTGGCCACAGGGGGCTTCCTCTGGAAATGGACAGCAAGGCTGGCTGGGCTCAGGCAACCAGTTCCACAGTCCCTTCTGTTTGAGCCATTCCAAAGGGCCAGCCTTGTGGGGGGAGTAGAGGTCATCTATACATTTCTCTACAACTTTCTATGTTTGCTGAACATTGTGAAACGATCATGTAAAACTCAATTACATTAGCTATTAGAGAGATGCAAATCAAAACAACAATGAGATACCATCTTGCTCCAGCACTAGTAGCAAAGTTCAACAAGACAGAAAATAACAAATGCTGGTGAGGTTGTGGAGAGATTGGGACTCTCATACACTGCTGGTGGGACTGTAAAATGGT